AAATTTTGTAGCACTTGTTTGCACAACAATAAGAGCCACTGTCATATGCCATTAGCATACAAATGATACATAGAAATAGCTCCGGTGCTAGCAAAGGTTACTCTGCGCGGTGGAGTAACCTTGCTGGTAAAGTTGCTGGTGTTATACGTGTTTGTTTTGGACCCACCTTGTGACAGTTTTGCTTTTCTCAACATACAGTCTGATTTACTCTTGTCAGTCTTGTTTACTTAAAAAAAAACTGTGCTGTTGTGACGCTAATGTGAATTAAAAAAGTGGGTATCTGTTTTGGGAATCAGGCCCTTTGGTCGTACTTCCCTAGTCCTTTGTTTGTCCCACGGTGGGGACATTTCAGTTCAATGAATACACATGTATACATCAAGGCATGCAACATACAATTACTTCCATACTCCTTATAGGCAAAGTGGGGTAAAGTGTTTTGCCCAAGTACACAACGACAGCAGACATCAGTGGAAGAGAGCCAGAATAAATGCATACAAGAAAACCAAGGAAAAGCATGGCGTGTTACCATAGGCGACAGAGAAGTACTGGTATGTCTGTGTCTATTAGTTTGTGTGTGTGTGTGTGTTTGTGCGCTTTCCCGTCAGTTTGTGGAGTTCCCCAGAGCTGAGGCAGAACCAGCAGGTCGAGTCGGGGCAGGTTGATGTGTGGCTGTCAGAGTGAGGAGGCTGCAGAGGGCTTTTTCCAGAGCACAGGTCCAGACAGGAGCAGACAGCAGTGAGCTCATCCCACAAGACTCTGCTCTTTACTCTGGGGCCTTTGTTTAGAGATGGGTGTCGAAGAGAAATACATTTGCAGTAAACGCCACATCGGAATTGGTCCTCTGCAATCGACCCGTCCTGTAATCCCACAAGGGTCTCTTTCAGGAGTGGGAATTGGCAAAAATGGGATTTGATAGTATTGAGGTATTTGGGCCACAATTGATTATTATTGCGATTCTTTAACATATCGCTATACAGCAGGTACAGTGCCTTGCGAAAGTATTCGTTCCCCTTGAACCTTTCAACATGTCACCACATTTCAGGCTTCAAACATAAAGATATACCATTTTAATTTTTTGTCATGAATCAACAACAAGTGGGACACAATCGTGAAGTGGAACAAAATTTATTGGATAATTTAAACTTTTTTAACAAATAAAAAACTGAAAAGTGGGACGTGCAATATTATTCGGCCCCTTTACTTTCAGTGCAGCAAACTCAGTCCAGAAGTTCAGTGAGGATCTTTGAATGATCCAATGTTGTCCTAAATGACTGATGATGATAAATAGAATGCACCTGTGTGTAATCAAGTCTCCGTATAAATGCACCTGCTCTTTGATAGTCTCAGGGTTCTGTTTAAAGCGCAGAGAGAACCATGAAGACAAAGGAACACACCAGGCAGGTCCGAGATACTGTTGTGGAGAAGTTTAAAGCCGGATTTGGACACAAAAAGATTTCCCAAGCTTTAAACATCTCAAGGAGCACTGTGCAAGCAATTATATTGAAATGGAAGGAGTATCAGACCACTGCAAATCTACCAAGACCCGGCCGTCCCTCCAAACTTTCATCTCAAACAAGGAGAAGACTGATCAGAGATGCAGCCAAGAGGCCCATGATCACTCTGGATGAACTGCAGATAACTACAGCTGAGGTGGGAGAGTCTGTCCATAGGACAACAATCAGTCGTGCACTGCACAAATCTGGCCTTTATGGAAGAGTGGTAAGAAGAAAGCCATTTCTCAAAGATATCCATAAAAAGTATTGTTTAAAGTTTGCCACAAGCCACCTGGGAGACACACCAAACATGTGGAAGAAGGTGCTCTGGTCAGATGAAACCAAAATCGAACTTTTTGGCCACAATGCAAAACGATATGTTTGGCGTGAAAGCAACACAGCTCATCCCCCTGAACACACCATCCCCACTGTCAAACATGGTGGTGGCAGCATCATGGTTTGGGTCTGCTTTTCTTCAGCAGGGACAGGAAAGATGGCTAAAATTGATGGGAAGATGGATGGAGCCAAATACAGGACCATTCTGGAAGAAAACCTGTTGGAGTCTGCAAAAGACCTGAGACTGGGACGGAGATTTATCTTCCAACAGGACAATGATCCAAACCATAAAGCCAAATCTACAATGGAATGGTTCACAAATAGACGTATCCAGGTGTTAGAATGGCCAAGTCAAAGTCCAGACCTGAATCCAATCGAGAATCTGTGGAAAGAGCTGAAGACTGCTGTTCACAAACGCTCTCCATCCAACCTCACTGAGCTCGAGCTGTTTTGCAAGGAAGAATGGGAAAGAATTCCAGTCTCTCGATGTGCAAAACTGATAGAGACATACCCCAAGCGACTTGCAGCTGTAATTGCAGCAAAAGGTGGCGCTACAAAGTATTAGCGCAAGGGGGCCGAATAATATTGCACGCCCCCCTTTTCAGTTTTTTATTTGTTAAAAAAGTTTAAATTATCCAATACATTTCGTTCCACTTCACGATTGTGTCCCACTTGTTGTTGATTCTTGACAAAAAAAATATTTTTTATATCTTTATGTTTGAAGCCTGAAATGTGGCGAAAGGTTGAAAGAATACTTTCGCAAGGCACTGTATTGCGATTCAATTCTGCAAAATGTTACGATTCCTGATCCTCATATTATTCAAAGTCATTGCAAAAATTGAGGAGAATAAGACTGCCCAACTCACATTTATTATGGTCTGCACATTAACTGAACTGCAAACACTTGGTTGAGCTCCCAGCACAAGTATTGTATTTGAATAATTTTTCTAAACACTTGCTTGTGACACCAAATGCAAAGGCTTTTGATTATAAAATTTAAATATTTTTATCAACTAAAATGTATGCAAAACTTAAAACTAAAGAAAACTGTTAAACCGGTCTTTCAAAACCAACACATTTAGAAGCAGATAAAACTGAACAATACTCAAATATCTCATCTATTGTTTTTAAATATGGCTGTAACATATGGGGTACAAACCTGCTTGATCCTGACCTAAATATATTTGCATCATATCACCAAAAGTTACATACACTTTCTGATGACAAATAATAAATAGTTTGGCTAAAAATGAGGCATCGGAAAGTAACTCCTCATTTGCATTGTAGGCCCGTGTAAACACGAGCTGTGACTTTGAGACATTTGCATAAAGTTAGAAGTGCAGGTCTCTGGTAGAAAAGTGTCATTTCACTTAGAAACCTTCTGACTTTTATTCATTCATCATGAAAGTCAGGTGCAGGTCAGAACTACCAACATAACAAATTCATCTTTGTACAACCCAAAGTCAGTCATGTTGAGGGACTTAACAAAAGTGGTTTGCCATTATACGATACAATACAATACAATACAGCCCTAAATCACAACAGTAGTCATTTCAGAGGACTTAACAAAACCATTGAAATCACCAACACAGAGAATCAACAGTTAAAACACAAAAAAGAATATAATCAGAATCCTAAAAAATAAACTAATAGAGAATAAAACAGACAGATTAACCAACGTTCACAAGAATTAGGTGCTTGGATGAAAGTCCCAGAGCGTCCACTGTCCTCAGACTTAACCTTATACAGCAAGAAAAATCTACAATAACGCAATGGGAAAAAGAGAAACCTTGGAAAAACCACAGTGAGGGAGAGCTGCACTCAGACAGACGGGCTGTAGAAGAGTCCAGGGCTGACGTGTTTTCATAAAGATATATGTAGGCTAAAAAAACCTCATCATAAACCTATTAGATAGAAAGATAGATCTGTAGATAGATAGATACTGTAGATAGATAAATGGGTACATACATAGATTGATACTTTATTGATCCCTGTCAGAGAAATTCAGGTTTCCAGTAGCAGCAAAAATAAAAAATAAAATTGATCATTCAAAAAAGCTACCAATAGTAATAATCAACAATGGCCCTTAGTGTTCCCTTTGTGATCTGAAAAAACATGCACTGCTATTGCCACTCTTTCTTTTATTACCTGCACTGACTATACTTTTTAACCTTTTTAACGTGTTGCACATTTCTGCCTTTTGCACAATCTGAGTGATTCTATTTGTGCTATATGTGACATGTGCATTTCTCCAGTGTGAGATCAATGAAGTCTATATCTATATTTCTTGAAGCCTACACTATCCAGACACCGTGTAGGACCAGTGTGATCTCTCGGTCTCAGCATGTTCACACTCGTCAGGTCCATGCAGCCTCAGGGCTCACTCTGCTCTCACTGTTCAACCGACTGTGGCCGAGAACAAAAGGCTGTGGTTAGTCATCAGTGGCGCGTGTGGGGAGCAGCTCCAGAGTTTAAATCATAATAATGCATCGGTTTTATACAGCTGTCATTATTCTTTCACTCCATATACACAGTGGTGACAAACTGCTACTGTAGCCACAGCTGCCCTGGGGCACACTGAGCTATTGTGTAGGGCGGCACGGTGGCTGAGTGGAGCTCTTTTTCAATACTACTTTAACAGTAGTTCAGAGATATTGAAATTTCTAAAGTAGTTTAACAGCCCCTAAATCTTGTTATTGTTTTCATTTCAATGTCCCGCCCTCCACCGTTTCACCAATCAGAAAGTCTGTGATCCGGGTTGCCAGAACTCACCGCGTGGAGCTAATCTCACTGGTAAAGTACCATGAGGCGACAGAACTAAAAAAGGTCCTGTTATGATTTTCAAATCAATGACAAGACAAGGATTAAAACCAGGATTTCTATCAGAGCCTTTTTGAAAAATGTGATTATTATAGATTTGTGGACAAAGCTCTTGACCATTCACTTATTATTGTTATGGTCCCAGCTGGATTCGTCTGCATATCTGGCAACCTGAGTCAGGGAGAGTGGGAGAGATTGCAGTACCACTTTTGGCCACATTTTTACGTACTGCTCCCTTAATCCTAACATAACTGTTTAATGTCTCCCGAATATTACCGCAAACTAAATCTACGGATGGTACAAATTTAAGAAACGTCACTCATGTTTTCCCCGCGACCTCTTTCTTCGCAGATTGCCCGATGACGCCGGACACGCCGAACAGCGAGGCGCGGACCTGCACGACCAACAGCCGCCTTGCCGCGCTCAAGAAGCAGATCGACATCGAGCTGAAAGTGAAGCAGGGCGCGGAGAACATGATCCACATGTACTCCAACGGCTCCTCCAAGGTCAGCCTCACGCCCACATGCTCTGCTGCACGGACACTAGTTTGTATTATGTGTGGTTATACAGAAGGTCAGGGGGTTCTCCAACTTCCAACTCGGAGAAACGCAAAAAGTTTAATTCAGTTCAATGTATACTTGTATAGCCCAGATCATAGTCCCAAGATGTTTTTTTTTTCTTTCCAGAGATGCCTTGACCCGAGATGCTATTGGTTTTTTTTGCAATTAAGATAATACCTTCTTGAACTACCTAATTCTTGATTCTTCATTTTGCTAAAGCTAGAGATTTTAGACTTGCTTCTTTATTATGCTAGAGCGATATGGCTGAAAACGATATCACAATATAAGTAATTCATATCGGTCGATAACAATATATCTTGATTGTTTTTTTTTTGTTCGTTTTTTTTACCTAAATAAATACATTTGTCGCGTCGGCTAACACACGTTAGCAGCCCTTGTTTATAGTCACGGAGGAATGAGGCTCGAGGAATATGATCACAAGCACAGTGTCCCCCATTGTTAGTCCTAGTTTAATCCTGGTTCACTCCTGGTTTAGCTTCTGGTTTGGCTGTTTTCGAGTGTCTTGTGTCCCTGTGACGGCTCCGGAGAAATGTCCTATCTTACTTTCGCCGAATGCATCGAGTCTCTGTACCCACTGCCTCTAACACACATGCTATTCCGCGCATGCATAACTATTGACACGGCATTGAAACAATCTGTAGCTCCATGGACGCTACGCATGGTGCAGTTGTTGTTTTTGCATTTCCCAGAATGTTTTGCGGTTCATGATCCGCTGTGATAGGTCGAGAAGCCTCTGCCTACATTATTTCCAACAGCGCAAAGTTGAACTATCGAACATTCTGTCGACCCCGTTTTCTTTTGATATCGAACACGTGTCTATCGTGAAATATATCGTTATCGTTTTATCGCCCAGCCCTACTTGTTTCTTTATTATGCTAAAGCTAGTGTAAAGCCCTAAATTTACAAAACCGTAGAATTCTCCAACACAGATCAGAAAACCAAAGAGTTCAAACACAAAAAATGCAATGAAAAAAAAATACTGTTAGAACCAATTTTAAATGCTTTAAAACATTTTTTTTAGACTTGGTTTTGGGTTTTATCTTTGAAGCCATTTGATTACTGATAATAGTAATATAAGTATCTATGGAGAAGTCCCACCTCTAGTTTTCCACAGGCTCTAGTTTCCTTTAACCCTCTTCGGTCTTTCACCTTGTGTTATGCCGGTCGTCTACTGTCCTTCACATTTCATTACATTCTCAACGACCCACACTAACTTTTGTTGCAATTTATGTAACAGCCGGAAACACATAGTTCAGTCTGCTTTACACACCTATAGTTTACCTGATAAAGCTTTAGTTTTAGCAGTTTGATGGTGCCCTGCTGCAGTGGACTGAGTTTCACAGTGCTTATCTGCAGGAGGAGAGGAGACACACACACTCTCTTACACACACACACACACACCGACACTTAGGCACACACACTCTCAGGCACAGCTCACTTTGTTCACTAAAGCTTCTGCTCTCACACAAACTGTAATTTAAGTCCAGTCACAGCGCCGTAATAACAGCCCAGAGTCTTGTATCACTCAGCCGTAAATCAGACAGTCTGTAGCTGTGTGTGTGTGTGTGTGTGTGTGTGCGTGTGTGTGTGTCATAGTCTGTGATGTCATCGTTTTAAAATATAATTTGCAGTCACCCAAATTCTGTATCCATTGATCCATCTTTTAACGATTGCAATTTTCTCTATCTGTTCTGATTTAAATGATTAAACCCTTATTAACAATCACTGTTAAATTAGTTAATTTCATGCAATATTTTAATCTTCCTGAAATTACTCTTAAGGCTCGTTTAGTAAATATTACACAATCACTTGTTCTCATAATTGTGCCTGTGTCATTCATTTTCCCCATAATATAAGTAGAAGGGCTCAAACCATTTATATTTGGAGATTTTCTTGCTTGTCTGAAGATTAGCAGAACACAATCTCAAAAAACAAAACAAATATATCAATGGGTCGTTCCTTACTTAGTAGTCATTTATTTACATAAACCGTATTGATATTTGGTCAGAGTTAGGAGGTAGCTGACAACGATAATGAACACTCAAGCCTCAAATGTGTCAATACAGGATTGCCCTTAAACTTGAAAGAATGTCGCTGATAGATTTCTGCACATGGAAATCTATCATGTTTAATAATAATAATGCATCGGTTTTATATAGCGCTTATTTGGACACTCATAACACACTGGGGCACACTGACAGAAGCTCGGCCCCTCTGACCACCACCAACCATCCACACACACACCAGACTCATTCTAGGCAGTGTGGTGAAGTGTCTTGCCTAAGGACACAACAGCAGTTTGGCACTTTACAGCCGCAGCCACCCCACTGTGGCATCAGGTGTTCCCAGAGGTTAAGTATCTTGCCAAGGACACAACGACAGCAGACATCAGTGGGAGTCTGTGGAGAAAGTCCCGTGGTGGGCTCGAACCCACGACCTTCAGGCTCAAAGGCCAATGCTCTACCAACTGAGCCACTGTCGCCTCTATTCTTAACATGTTGTTGTTTAAACCCAGTTAGTCCTGTTAAACTGACACTTATTATGATAAATTGAATTCTTTTGACCTCTTAACCATGTGACGACATTGCTTTCTCCATGAACAACATGCCTGCTCCTCTTTCCATTTTCAGCTCTATCCGCACTGATATCAGTCACAATCAACTCACACACACCCCCCCTGCCCCATCTGTCAAAATGCTCCTCTTTCAAACTCTTTACAGCAGGGGTCTCCAACCTGTAGCTCGCCAGCCACTTTCAGGTAGCTCCCCAGAGGATTTAGAATTGAGCACATGATCTTGAATGACTTCTGGTCTTTGGGCCTGAAGGTCTTGGGTCCGAGCCCACCGTAAGACCTACTTCACGACTCCCACTGATGACTGCTGTCGTTGTGTCCTTGGGCAAGACACTTAACCCCACTTTGCCTGAATCCCCCACTGAAAGATCTCAGCTCCTGTGGACTCACCACCTGCAGGAGGATCAGTGAGGGGCTGGTGCTCTGTGTACTGGGTGCAGCTCTGACTGCCACCCCCCGACTCAGAAATGGATTAAGGCGAAGAAAATGGATGGATGGATCTTGAATGAATACACATTGAGTCATTGCATATCTATTATAAGTATAAATATAGGATTACACAGTACTTTTTCACATATATGTGTTCTCTCTTGTTGTAAAGACCTTTTATTACGACTGGAAAAAGGAGTAGCTCTCTGCCGCTTCTGTTGTATAGAAGTGAAAAAGGTTACAGTATGAAGAATCCCCATGAGATTTCTTGTATCTTGTTTAGAATATCAAATAAAAACAATTCAGCTTGATGTCATGTCTCATAGTTCCTTGATGAGTTCCTCTTTTGGCACCAAGTTGTATAAACGTTGCAACAGTTAAAAATCTGCTTGATCTCACTCCGCTCCAGGGCTCCTCCGAAATACGGGCTACTCTCCTGACATAGTTAAGTTTGTTTTTTTTTGTTTTTTTTCTTTAAACCAAAGGCAGAGGCTGAGGTTGTGGGTTCTCCGCTCGTGGCTGCGTTACGTCAGGAGGAAATGGCGGCTGGACACGGGGGCTTCCGGAACTTCAGAGGAATGTGGCCGTCGGGGTTTTTAAAAGGCTCCACCGCCACAACACAATGACATTCCTCTGCTTTCTATGAATACACTTTTCCATGTGCTCACCCCAGACTTCCAAATAAGGAAACGACGGCACGGGGTTTGTTTGTGTCGTCACGGCGATAAACAACCGCAGCAGCGAGACCCCGACCGGGGGTTTGGGAAGTTCAATAGGTCAAGTTTGTTCTGTGCTTTCAAAGTTTTTGTTTTGGGGGAAAAAAACATCAGGATTTTGAAGTGGCGCCACCTGTGTGTGAAGGCCTGATCCTCCTGTCTGGCCTCTGAAGTTAAGCAGGGCCAGGCATGGTTAGCACTGTGATGGGAGACCTCTAGGAACAGAAGGTGTCACAGTGGGGCGGCTGCGGATGTAAAGTGCAAAACTGTGGTTGTGCCCTTAGGCAAGACACTTCACCCACATTGCCTATAATGTGTGTGTGAATGGTTGGTGGTGGTCAGAGGGGCCGATGGCACAGACTGGCTGCCTCTGGCTACAATACTAGTTTATCACCACTGTGTTATTGAGTGAAAGAATAACATGTGAAACGTGTCCAAAATTGCGTTATATAAAACCAATGCTTTATCACAAATGTTGCCTTTGGAGTGTGTCGTTTCTCTATTTGAAAAACATTGAGTCCACATTCCGCAAAAGAGTGGATTATTCAAAGTAATGGATACATGAGCTGAACTTCCAATTCAGAATTTCAGTTGGATTTCAATCAAGTATTTGGTTAATAATTAACCCTTTTCTGGGAGAAAACGGGTAATAAAACTCAACAGCTTCGAGACCAAGGAACTAGTTAAATGGATTTTAATGCAACAGTAGTTTTTGGGTGATTTGAAATTTGGGAGCCCCATCTTTAAGGACTGACAAATGAAAATCATAATTCCTACAGTCAGAAATATGCAGCTCCTCGGTGTCTTTTGGTCCTGATGATCGTCTTGTGTGAATGTAGGCAGTGAGAGTTTGTTCCTCTGCTCAGGACCGTAAGCTGCTGGGCACCGCGCAGCAGATGCTGCAGGACAGTAAGATGAAGATCGAGTTCATCCGGATGCAGATCCTCAAAGCCACACAGACCAACGAGCTGAGCTTCGACAGCAACGACGTCATGGGTGAGTCCTGAGACCAACACACGATCTACAAATGCTGATAAGATTTATGGTATTAGTTTGAATAGTAGGTATAATCACTTCATCTTTTAATTAAACGTATTTCCTTTGGTCCAATATAAATGTGAAGTATTTATATAAAGCACAAATACAGCGTAAAAAATGCACTACAAACACACATTTAAAATCCTGTGCAAATAGTGCAAATATAATATATCGGGGAAAAAATCAGTTAAAATTCAGTCAGAAGATTTAAAATGTTGATGTAGAATCAGTCAAAATCACAGCTCAATGAGACTAAATCAGCCTGGACATAATCCTGATTTTAAAAACAGAACCACCACCGCAGCCTTGTTCAAAGTAGGAGGTGTTTGTGCTGCAGACAAACCGTTCATCAGCCCGTTGGACCTGCGGGTGGAGGAGCTGTGTCATCACGCCAGGATCGAGTCGGCTGTGGCTGAAGGCGCCAAGAATGTCATGAAGCTGCTGGGCTCCGGGAAAGTCACGGAGAAGAAAGCACATTCAGAGGTGAGTCTCCTGCACAGCTGTGTTTTATACTCATGCATTAGGACTATCGAGCACATAGAGCTTATCTCATCCTGGTTTGACTTTTTATTTTTATTCTACATGTCACTAACAATAGTAATAAAGTCAAACAGCAGTTCAAGAGAGAAGAGAGCTGCAGTGGGTCTAACTTAGTCGGGTGCTCATCGGGATCAGCAGTGGCAAAAACACTGGAAACTTATGAAGAGAGGAGAAAAATTTGAGGCACTCTTGGCAATGAAATAAAAATCCCTGTTCAAGGCCCTTTAGGACCCAGCGGAGGTGGTGTAGCTGCTGGTGATAAGCTGCTTCCTCTGGTTGATGTTTGCAGAGTCTGCTTGGTTCGGACCATTTTCTCAGCTCTGGTTCAGAGTGAAATTCTGAATTACTAGCATTTTTCAACAGCAGCAAAAAAGGCATTCTTCCAGTGTATTTGTGCTTAATCTGTTTGTTTGGGACCATCCTCTCTGCTCTGGTCTGGATCAGTGTTAAACCATGAACACTTTGCTGCAGTAACATTTACAGCTAGATAAAGGCAAGAAAAATAACGATTGTAAAACACAAAACGACAACTGTTTCAGAGCAACTTAAGTCTCGCTGCCGTTTCCAGCGCATTCAATTCAATGTATTCTTGTATAGCCCTAAATCTCAACAGTAGTCATCTCGGAGGACTTTGCACAACCGTTGAATTCGCCAACACAGATCAGAGAATCAAACAAGTAATAAAACAGACATTGGTCCATAAGGGGCAGATGACCGATGTCCTTAAATGTTGATAAATGTCTATAAATGTTGTTGAGTGTCCTGGATCATAATCACTGTCCTTTTGGTGAGACCCTCACAAGGCTCAAACAGAAACGCCTGCATCGGCAAAGAAAAACTCTATAGACAGTGGGCAAGGTTCAAAACCTTCGGGAGGCCCACATTGAGAGAGGGATCCACTCCCACCGACGGACGGGCTATAATAAAAATACAATTAACTGTTTGAATCCAGTGGGTGGAGACGTCACAAAATCATGCTTTCACATTATTTTTTGTCTTGACACAAAAACATGGCAAAATATACCTAGATATCTCTCTCACCTCCTGACAAAATATACATACATGTACATACTCTGATAAAATATACCTAGATTTCTCTCTCACCTATGAAAATATACATAGATGTCTCTCTGACCTCTGACCCGTGGTGTCTCCTCCAGGCTCAGGCCCGGTTCAACGAGTCGAGTCAGAAGCTGGACCTGCTGCGTTACTCTCTGGAGCAGCGGCTGAACGAGCTTCCAAAGAACCACGCGAGCAGCGGAGTCATCATGGAGGAGCTGTCCCTGCTGTCCAGCCCCGCCCTCAGCCCCCGCTCCAGCCTCATGTCCACACAGAACCAGTACAGCACGGTCACCAAGCCCGCCGCACTCACAGGTACACAGTCGCCTGCCGCACTCACAGGTACACAGTCGCCAAGCCCGCCGCACTCACAGGTACACAGTCGCCCGCCGCACTCACAAGTACACAGTCGCCTGCCGCACTCACAGGTACACAGTCGCCCGCCGCACTCACAAGTACACAGTCACCTGCCGCACTCACAGGTACACAGTCGCCCGCCGCACTCACAAGTACACAGTCGCCTGCCGCACTCACAGGTACACAGTCGCCCGCCGCACTCACAAGTACACAGTCGCCTGCCGCACTCACAGGTACACAGTCGCCAAGCCCGCCGCACTCACAGGTACACAGTCACCAAGCCCGCCGCACTCACAGGTACACAGTCACCAAGCCCGCCGCACTCACAGGTACACAGTCACCAAGCCCGCCGCACTCACAGGTACACAGTCACCAAGCCCGCCGCACTCACAGGTACACAGTGTTGTGGGAGTTTCTATCCAAAGTAAGGAAGAAGCTCGAAAGGTATTTGTCTTAATCAGGAGCGTAAGTTTATTGTAACACACGTGCGGAGAACTCACATACACAAAGCAGCGTACATCAGTTCTGGCGGGGCCAGTCCCAGGTCCCCGTTTACATAGACAACACATGAAAGACAGTCACGCCCACAAAAGGTGGGAGGGGTCACAGTTTTGAGACGGGCATCCAGATGGCGAGGCGCCTTGCCTGGTGAGAGACAACTCTTTGTGCCATGGAGATTGTTATGCCCTGACCCTGCCAGTCAGTTCTGGAGACACATTTACTAGTCAAACGGCCTCCAAATGTAGCCTGACCCTGACTATATTACTCCATGTCTGCTTCACCTCTGTCTCTCCTGCTCAGAGTGCTCAGGCAGTGATCTTTGATCAAGCCAGGGAGTTCTGCTGCCACCTGCTGGCTTAATAAAATACTGTCTACAGCCAAACCCCAGACTGTATGATACAGGGGACACAGACTGACAGGAAAAGATTGAATTGAAAAACAATGTTGATGTCAATTGACATCAATGGCTGTCAATGAGACTTTCCTGGTTAAATAAAAAAAATAAATAAATAATTGTTTTCCTTTTTATTTTTTATTTTTTTAGAGTGATTCTTTGGCGTACCCCTAGAGGGCGCTCGTACCCCAGTTTGAGAAACACTGGCCTACAGGAATCCAGCAACTCAGGGCTACAAGTGAGTAACGTTAACCACTTCTGTAAACAGGACAGCCCCAAGGCTCTCATTGAATTTGATGGCATCAAATGTAAGGCCTAAAAAGCTGTAAATGTGTTAGAATTTGACAAAAAGGTGAGATACTGGGCATATAATATTGTGTTCCTCACATTGCCTGAGCTCTGAAGTGTTGGATGTTAACTGTTAGCAACTGTTAACAGTGAACTGTTAGCAGTTGTTACCAGTTGTTAACAGCTGTTAACAACGTCATCAATCAGACTCAATTGATGACGTCATGTTTACATGTCTCTAGATTCCTTTTAATTTTAAACTTTTAACTTTGTGATTGTACATGTTACATTTTACCGAAGTAACTATACATTTTTTTTTTTTTTTAAAGGTTTGACTCTTTACTTGACCATGCCTGGGGCAACTCTGTGTACTGTTTAAAGTATTTGATACATTATTAATACAGATTGTACTTCTTTGTACAATCTTTGTTTCTTGAAGGGAGATCATCAACTTAATGGATCTGAAGGGAAAAGTCACTGCTCAGCAGTGTAAAAAGAAGTGGGAATACCTAAAGAAAAAGTACAAGCTAATTAAAGTGAGGGTACATGTATTGCAACCCATTTAATGTATACAGGTAACATGTATTTGTTCATATGTAATATGTTAGGACTTGTCACTGCCAAAAACTGGGTCAGTGACAGAGGAAGGAGAGGTGACGGCGGCCAGTTGGGTTTTTTATGCTGATACAGTATGCATGAAGCCATGAAGATCAGGGAAAAGGACGAGGAAAGAAAGAGAAAGTGCAGCAGAGAGTCTTCAACAGTGGTGTGAGAGCATTGAAAAGGAAGAAGATGAGCAGGACAGAGCGTGGATGCAGCAGGCCGGGGGGCAAATGGACCGAATGTTGAATTTGTTTGGGAAATTAGTGGACCACCTGACTAAAACTTGACCATGACTACTTTATTTTTATTTACAAAATTATTTTATGAGACTTATTGATTGCACTTTAAATCAAATGTTCGTTATTTATATGTTCTGTATTTTCAAAATTAAACCTGTTTTTCTATTTATTGTCCTTGTCTTGTTAATCATGTTGCTTAACAATTCTCTATTCCAATTTTGATTGGTTTGATTAATTTACAATAATGGGTTGGTCCTGATGTGTCGTGTACTTTATGTCTGTAGACTTAATTAATCAATGGATTAAAACAAACATTGGGTTATACAACAGTTTATTGTGCATTTTGTACACACCGTTATCATTTTCTAAATTGCAAACAAATATCAAGAGCTTTTATGGGCAGTAAATGGGAAATCAGTGTTCACAGCATAGTGTTAATTGAAGTATCTGGACTTTAAAAAGTTACAACTCAAAAACAAAATTTACTCTCATAGATAACAAAAAATATTTCAAACACAGACATGTCAAAGACATTGTGGACAATAATCAAAAGAAAAAGATTCCCACCAATAAACATTAAAACAACATCAGGAAATCACTTCATTTAAAAAGGAATCATTTCTGAGAAATAATCAATAACATGTTCACATCAAATGTTCTCTAAAATTTTAACTTGAAATAAAATGATCCTCCGGTATCACATTTAATTGGTTTTACCGTACTATATGAAAGCTCATTCCATCAAAGGATCAGGTGCGTGATACAGATAAATAGTTACCATAGAACATGTAACTAATGTATAAAACAGTTATCCTCTAGCAACTACCAATGGACAGAAGAGGGATTTGGATAAATGAAAAACATTAATAAATCTTCTGATTATTGAAATCACATTTTCAGTCACACTTTTGTATCCTTTAGTATGAACAAGCCCAAATCAGTGTTCAATCTTCATAAATAAAGAAATTAATAGCAAAAATAATTACTTAAAAAACAAAGTAGTAAAAAAAATACTGAACTTTCATCAAAAAGTACTGGAGAAGATTTCAACAAGGAAAATTGTATAAAAGCACTGTACAAATGTCCATAATTACACTAAATATAGTCATGTTCCATGAGATAACCCTGTGCAACAACAGGAGCAGACACTTGAGCAGAAAGTCGCTCCCTCAACCTGATTCCACTTGCATCTGATTGTCCTGCATCTCCTGGGGGCAGCGGTGGTGGTGGTGGCTGGTTATCATCCCGATCCGGTGTCAGGACATCTCCGTGAGTGAGACAAACATTGTGAAGAAAAGGACAGGCAGTCACGACCTGAGAGCAAAAGGCTGCCTTCACCTCCAACGCCTTAAACATTGTGGTTCTCCAGCGGGTCTTCATCATGCCGAAGGCTCTTTCAACGATTGACCGGGCACGTGAATGAGTGGTTGAACCGTTCCTCAACCTGGTTGTGAAGGGGCATCTTGTAGGGGGTGATGATGGTAATGGGTTGTTGAATGCAAGGACAGTCACCATCACCCAAAATAAAATAACCTTGTGGAGGGTACTCTGCTCTGACGTAGACTGGGCTATTCTTCAATACGCGTGTGTCGTGCACCGAGCCAGGGAATCCAGCGAATATGTTCAAGAATCTGCCACTTGTCGTGAAAACGTAATATACGTAGTATATTTTTATACTCATATATTATGCAACCCCCTTAATAATAAGTAATTGTAGCAGACCTAAAAGTCCGCTGGCTTTAAGGGTTACAGGTGGAGCGATTAGCCTGACTCTCCCCCCTGAGTCTGCCCAACTTCCTCCGTGGCTGGTTGTTAGGATGAGACCCACAACTCTTCCTCCTTCACCGCCCACGGTCTCCTCAGGTTTCCGGGTCCGCTCCTGGTGTCACTGGCTCTTGGTATTTCGTCAGGTGTTGCTTCGGTGGTCAGATTTTGACCCCCTGGGCAATTTGATGGTGGATAACAGCTGTAAATCACTTACAGAGAGTGTAATTCAAAAAACCCCTAGACCTTAGTTTAACATTTAACAGACGTTGTTACCATAAAAATGACAATAGAGAAATAATTTTAGGTTATTTTATTGCAGGAATGATTATATACATTTCAAAGCACAGCAAATGCAAAATCAATATAGAATACAATGTTAAGATATTAATAAAAATCTAATACCACCTTTCCAGTCTCCTTCCCCAGCCTCTAACTTCCTCTTCATGCCACAAGCCGCTTCCCGGCAGGGGCCCTGTGAGGCTGGTGAAGCAAGAACTCTGTGAGAGCGCGCCCGTAAATCACGGCCGTTCTCCCTCTGCTGTGTGTTTATATTTTGGCCAACAAAAGCAGCCCGAGAGTGGGAGAGGTGCACTCCCCCTCCACCCTCTGCTCTGTCTCTGCCTCGCAGGCCGAGCGTCCGCAGCCCAAGGCCTTATTAGACCTGGTGAACTGGATTTCTCAACCCAGCGCTCGTCACTCTACCCGCTGTAAGCAGGGAGATTTTTCCACAGTCCTCCTGTGTCAATTGTCCCCTGAAGTTGTTGGCTGATCAAACTGCCAGGCGATCGAAGGACTGCGTCTGGTCCCCGGAGGTTGTTCCCAATTCAGCTCCGCGGAGAGATCTCGTCGTCTCTCGTCTGATTCTACTTTTTATAGTCCCCCAAGGTTATACGCATGCCCATACTTGGCCTTTCCCCTTCCCCTGGCTATGTCACTGCACGCCTCCGTTTCCTTAAAAGAGAACTTCCACAATTCACAGAGCGCCCTCTCATAGTTTCACAATCAATGCTTCTGTCATTTAATCTTGTAATACACATGAAAGTATAACATCTCAAAACACAGGGCATACATTTCTATAATACTTTTGGTTACATGAGAACATAAAACACAACACATTCTTATGTGATATAAAACTTAAGCATAGCCTACAAGAAAGACCCCTCTATCCCCTTAATCTCAACTTCTGATTAAATTCAATCACTAACATGATTTCATGACACACTTGAATCACAAATTGCCTGCATCTGTATGGAGTGGAACTGTTTGTAGTTGAAATAGTCCACTTTGTTGTCATTTGGAGGCTTAATTCTAATGTGACAGCCGTCTACTGCACCTACAGCCTTTTTAAATGCCCTGTGCCTGGCTAAACAGCCAAAACCTCTACCAGTGTCCTCCAACGCCTCCTGTGGTGGGTAGAATATTACTCAGTGTGCGTTCTTTACAATCAATTCAGCTATCTTGTGGACAACACGACAGACTGTCGACTTTGGCACAGAAAAGGCCATGCAGCAACTCTAAAGGAAATCCCGTGTGCAAGCCAATACACAAATATGAGAATCTCCAATGGAAACCCCAAGCCATGGTCTTTATCGGTCTTCAAAGAATTCATCAGGCCATTCATTGAATTTCTGGCGATAGTGAGGTTGAAGCTCTTGGTCCACATCGAAGTAGACCTGCAGAACAGGCATGGTCCGGTTCAGCCTGGTGTAGGTCAGCGGTCCTCCAATCTGATGAAAACGTGCATAAAATAGAACAAAATTATTGTCCCGATCAAGATCACAGTTGCGGTCAATCGGCAGCACTATTATGATCACAATCAATCAAAATTACTTTCAGAGTAATATGAATGGAATCACTATCAAAAAATAATCTGGGAAAGCAATTCTTCTTAGGAGAATATTGTTGACAGCTGCAGCAATAGAAGTTTTTATTTATTATTATAGACCACTGCAAACTTGCATTAGAATGTGTTTTAAACGTATTTTCTGCAGAGTCCAGTAATAAATCATTTTGCAGATTTTGTGTAATCTATTTTCAATTTAATTGAGAGGGGTAAACCATGTTACTAGCCTGATTATCAGCCGGTTTCATTTCACTTCATGGAAACAGTCTGAAATCAAACTCTAAATACAGTTCAGATTCTGAATATTTACAAGAAGTAACGCTTTGAGAAGCTGTGCATACAACTGAGGGATTTTATATTTGTATCTTTCTTTTTAATGTTCTGTGATTATTTATGATTTTAATGCTTTCTTATTTTGTTCAGCACTTTGAATTGCCTTGTGTATGAATTGTGCTATATAAATAAACTTGCCTTGCCTTGCCTTGCCTTGAGAAACTGCTGAACAATGAACTCGGAGAACATGATAGCTGTGTTGTAAATGCCATTGTTTTCTAACATTTGCATCGTTAGAACACGCTGCACTTTAGCCTATTCCTGGCGCTAGCACATTAGCAGTAACCTAGAAATAACGGTCTTATTACTTTAGTAAGTAAATTAACTTACCAATTCAGACTTCTGCGCAAAGGCAAGAGCCTGGCGGATGAATCTCATGCGTATGTCTGCGCCTTCTCCGTCTCAAAAAACAAATTTGCTTGAGTTTCTGCATATTTTGGAGCAGCAAAATCGCCAAAACAACCACCGGCGCCGCCATCTTGAATGACGCTAAACTACTGCGTCCTGGGGCACGTTGATGACGTAATCTCAACCGTCCCAATTCTGCAATTCTCGCGCACTGTGCACTTGCACACTCGTAGACTTTATGTGCACTTTCAAAAAGTGCACACTTCTCAAAGTGCGCGATTTGGGACGGGGCCTTTGACTTGGTTGAACATCTGCCATCATATAAATGAAAGGCCTGCGTTTGTGTATTAGTGAACACTTTGTTGCTATGAAGGTACAGGTGCCTGAAGGCATTTCTATCCACAGCCATGGAGTCAACCAAATACAAACATATTAACCAAATACAAACATATAAACCAAATACGAACATATATTTTGAATGCGCTGGAAAACGGCTGCAAGTCCTAAGTAGCGCTGTGTGACAAGGAGGCACGAGCGGGTGGCGGTGGGAGCACAAACACCAGGGAGGCAGTCTTGGTGGTCCAAGTTTTTTTTTTAAATGTAATTTCCTTTTTTTGTGCAAAATGCAAAAATACCCTATCATAAAGTAACGAACGTGTGGTTTGTTGCACTCTGGATTTTTTGTTGTTGTTGTTGCTTTTTTCTACCAGAGATGTTGCTGCAATCCAGTGTGTTCATGGTTTTACACTGATCATGACCAGAGCAGAGAGGATTCATGGTCCGAACCAAACGGATCAAGTGAAAATCCACAGGAGGAATGCTAACTTTTTGAAAAATGCTAATGAAGCATTTAGCGTTTTACTTTGGACTAGAGCCGAGAAAATGGTCTGGATCAAGCAGCTACTCCACCCAGCAGCTTCTCTACCTCTGCTGCTGTGACCCGTCCTGCTCCACCCAGGGGCTTCTCCATCTCTGCTGCTGTGACCTGAAGGGCTGTTGCTGAGTATTACTATTGTTAGCTTTTTAGAATGATCAATTTCAGTTTTTATTTTTGCTGCTACTGGACAACTGAATTTCTCCAACGGAGATCAATACAGTAGCCATCTATCTATCTAGCTATCTTCGTTGTTATTATAGTTGGATGGGGAATTGTGGAAAGCTCAACTTCCGTAAGAGATGTTGCAGAATGATGACATATTTCACGTAAGAAAAGAGCGTCTATAAGCAGTGTCAGAACGTAAACTGGAAATGAATAACATCATCAGGAAGTAAACCAGAAATTGAGGGTTAGGAGTGTGAGGGTTGAGAGTGAGGTTTGAGGGTTGAGGCTGAGCAGGCCTTGTCTTGTTCATCCTCTTGAAATAAAGAATAACCCTGTTTAACTTCAGCCTCATCACAAAACACAACTGAAAATCAACAGGCTTAAAACATGTTAGTATTCTTAAGTAGGGTTAGGGTTGGAGGCTACAGCCTTCCCTCTGCCCTGTACCTTGGTGACCATCTACACCCTACCTCTGCTCTGTACTCTGTACCTTGGTGACCAGGTCCAGGATGAAGATCAGCAGGCAGGTCATCTCGATTGCCTCAGTGAAGCCGCAGGGGGGCTGCCAGGGGGGGAAGCGGTGTCGCGGGTCGGAGGAGGCCGACAGAGACGAGGGACGCTCTACAAAGGCCAAAAGTAAGACCACGGCGATGGTGAGGCCCAGACCCCTGCATCAGAGAGGGAGGAGATTGGAGCACTGTCCTTTACATTTTGTTTTTTGATGCAGGTTCGGCTTGAAAAACAACACAAGGACGCACTTTCCACTCACCTTCAAATGTTATAGTAGTAGCAGTAAATTGTATTATCTTATCTTAACACAAGTTAGCAGCCCTTGTTTACGGGAGAATGAGAACTCTGGAGGCCGGGGCTGGAGGCATAAGTTCACTCTGTATCCCCCATAGTTAGTCCTGGTTTAATCCTGCTTTGGCTGTTTGAGTGTCTTGTGTCCTTGTGACGGCTCCATGTGGCTATCAGAGATCCGGACATGCTTCCCAAGGAAAAATTTAATCTCGAGTCTCTGTACCTACTGCCTCTCCCGAGCCGCACTTGCTATTCCTCGCACGGACGTGCAGAACTATTGACACAGCATTGAAACAAGAAGCAATCTATTGTATAGATCCATAGAAGCAATGCATGGTGCGGTTGTTGTTTTTGCATTTCCCTGAATGTTTTGCTGTTCATGCTCGTCTGTGATAGGTCGAGAAGCCTCTGACTACGTTCCCCAGAATGCCACGTGCTTCTGACTTGGCTATACTTCCTGTGTTTTCTTCCTGTTTTTTTCTAACAGAGTGAGGTTAAACTAACATTCCATCAACCCAGTTTTCTATTGATATCGAACACGTGCCCTACTACACCAGGGTTCTGTGTTTGGACTTTAGCTCTGCCTTGCTCCAGGACCATCCCTCTCAGCTCAACATGCCCAACTCAACCTGCAGGTGGATCACTGACTTCCTGAAGGAGGAAGCAATGTACGCATCTGGGGAAGAATGTCTCAGACACATGGGATTACAAACACAGGAACTCGGCAGGGCTGTGTTCTTTCTCCCATGCTCTGCTTTCAGGAGGGAGGTTGACCGGCTGATGTCCTGCTGCAGTGGTAACAACAGCATGTTTCAAAAATAAATTCTGGTGTCCTTTGACAGCTCTTTTAGACCGCTGCAAAATTGAACTTTTTGGCCACAATGCAAAACGATATGTTTGGCGTAAAAGCAACACAGCTCATCACCATGAACACACCATCCCCACTGTCAAACATGGTGGTGGCAGCATCATGGTTTGGGCCTGCTTTTCTTCAGCAGGGACAGGGAAGATGGCTAAAATTGATGGGAAGATGGATGGAGCCAAATACAGGACCATTCTGGAAGAAAACCTGTTGGAGTCTGCAAAAGACCTGAGACTGGAACGGAGATTTATTTTCCAACAGGACAATGATCCAAAACATAAAGCCAAATCTACAATGGAATGGTTCACAAATAGACGTATCCAGGTGTTAGAATGGCCAAGTCAAAGTCCAGACCCGAATCCAATCGAGAATCTGTGGAAAGAGCTGAAGACTGCTGTTCACAAATGCTCTCCATCCAACCTCACTGAGCTTGAGCTGTTTTGCAAGGAAGAATGGGCAAGAATTCCAGTCTCTCGATGTGCAAAACTGATAGAGACATACCCCAAGCAACTTGCAGCAGTAATTGCAGCAAAAGGTGGCGCTACAAAGTATTAGCGCAAGGGGGCCGAATAATATTGCACGCCCCACTTTTCAGTTTTTTATTTGTTAAAAAGTTTAAATTATCCAATAAATTTCCACTTCACGATTGTGTCCCACTTGTTGTTGATTCTTGACAAAAAATTTAATTTTTATATCTTTATGTTGGAAGCCTGAAATGTGGCGAAATGTTGAAAGGTTCAAGGGGGCCGAATACTTTTGCAAGGCACTCTATAATGAAAAGAAGTAAAATGAACTGAACTTTGAACTAGTTCAGAATTAAAATTGTGAACTTTGAATGTGAACTGTTCACTTTGAGCATGTATGAACTGAACTTGAACTAGTTCAGATAAGCAGTGAACTGGCACAACACTGCCCTTATCATCCTGAACTTTTCTTCTTCTTAAATCCTTCGGTTTTCTATAAATCCACACTTTACTGCCAAAGGGGGCGCCCGTGGTACTGCAGACTAAATTCACGCGGGCTACCCAGAAAAATGTCCCATAGAACACAATAAAAACTAAAAGAGCTGGACCTCAGCTGACAGGGAACCTACAGCTTTCATGGATTTTGTGTCCCTTATCATCCTGAACTTTTCTTCTTCTTAAATCCTTCGGTTTTCTATAAATCCACACTTTAATGCCACAAACTCTGCTCGTTTCCTTCCCGCTCTGGCTCCGCTCTACCACTGCTCTGATCAAGAGCACTGATTGGCGTGGCCGAGCCTCTCTTTGCACATGCAAGAAAGCCACACAAAGGTATTTGGCGCAACACATCATGGGAGCTCGTCCACTGCGCAGAACCGGGAGGAGTTTCGCTAATCTTTCGGTCCCTGCCTCACTGGGTGACATTACAAGCCACGGTCGTACAAGCACGATAATGATCCATATTTGTTTTCAAAAACACAATTTATGACCCATCCTCTTAACTGTAGACATGTTGTTTGTAAAGGAAATATGTTTGAACTTTGTAAACCGCGATAAACACAGAAAACAGTTCGATAGCCCCGCACGGGCTTCTCCCACTGTGAGCTATAGGCTTTTACATCTCTCAAGAGAGGCTCGCCATGGAATCATTATAATATCTGGATGGGGTATTATAGCTGAAGGACCCATGTGCTCGGAGTATTCTCGCTGAAGGACCCATGTGCTCGGGGTATTCTCGCGGTACTGCAGACTAAACAAGACTAAATTTACTATATCATCATAGCATAATAGGGTTAAGACAAATGAATGTCACATTTCAAAATGCCTGATATCAAAAAGGTACCATTGGCAGATGTTGGAGTAGTAGCATCGGTACAAACGGAGCGACCGCGAGTCCACGCGGTGGTTAATGGAGCGGTACTGAAAGAAGATTACAAAACATTACATATACAATTTTTACTTACTAATCAAATGTGGCTTAGGGTTTCCCTCTCTGGTCTCTCTCTACTCACTCTAGTCTAGTCCATAGACTGTAAATGTCTAGTCACTCTGTCTAGTGACGATATTAAAAAATACCTGTTACATATGAAACTAATAAAAATAATAATAATAAATCTCAAAAACTTTTACCTGAATGGCATCTTCCACAAACACAACGGCTTGTTGAATGTAAAGCTCCTCATCTCCTGTGAAGAAAGACCAAATGAGCTGAGGTATCTGGAGACCAGGACCAGGACCCATCTGGAGAACAGGACCAGGACCAGACCAGGACCAATGCTAGACCAGGACTAGACCAGGACAACCCTTCTGTGACTCTGTGTCCCATGGAGAGACTTAGGTCTAATATTTACACACATTTATTGAAGTCATGCGTCAAACAGGTTTAGGCTGAAACCTGAGGCCAACACACACATACGCACACACAACTGTACGCAGAGCCACCTTTCAGGCCAGTCGTCAGAGTGGAACTCGCAGGTCAAAATAGTAGTCATAATAACATAAACGTAGGGAGTCAATTTGCTGGGAGAAGTATGGTAACTTGAGCACTATCCTCTCCTCCTTCCTACTTTACCTGTTTAGCATTATTAGGATTTTGACTGTAGTTTGTTCATTGCTATTCACCCGTTGTCCCATTGTCTGTTTCACGGTACGATGACGGGACCTCTGAGCCTGGCCTCCTCCATCTACACCTGCGGACTGCCCTGCCTGACCCGCCTGGGAGTGCTTCCACTGGTCCACGTTCTGTAGCTAGCTTAGGTCCTAGATCATTAGCCTGTCCATCCGGAGTAGTAGTAGTAGTAGTAGTAGTAATCTTTATTTATATACCGCCTTTTCACTGCACATCGGAGTCTCAAAGCGGTTTACAATTGTTATTTTTGGGAGTGGGGCCAGTACAGGAGGCACATGCCAGACCTATTGTACATATTTTTAGTGGTAGGGGAAACCGGAGCACCCGGAGGAAACCTACGCAGACACAGGGAGAACATGCAAACTCCACTCAGAAAGGCCCTGGTCCGACTGGGATTCGAACCCAGGACCTTCTTGCTGAGAGGCGAGAGTGCTATCCACTCAGCCACATCCGCCGGAGGAGCGGATCCCTTTCTCAAATGGGTCTCCCTCCCTGTGGGTTTCCCTAGGTGTCCCCAAGGTTTCTCACTTTTTCCCACTGGGTTTTTTATGAAATTTTCCTTGTTGATGCAGGAGGGTCTTGTTGGACAGTTAGTGTCCAACAGAAAGAATTGGTGATGATCCAGGACACTTTAACATTCTACAACATGTATGGACATTTTCTTCTGTGTGTGCTTTATATTTTTCATTTGTTTTAACCTTTGATTCTCTGACCTGTGTTGGTGATTTCAATGGTTTTGTTGTGACTTAGGGCTATACAAGAATAAATTGTATTGTATTGTATTGTATAAACAAATAATAAACAAATAGTAATACTGTATAGGTTTTATCTGGACACTCACTTCACGTCATATTAATTAACTCCATACATCACTACTACACAGTAGGGCTGGGACAACGCATCGACGTAATCGATGACAACGCAAAAAATACGTTGATACAAAATATGCATGTCGATGCGTCATACTCAAAACAAAGATGGCAGCGAGTAGTAGCAATAGTACGCAAGTGCTGTCTTATGGGGCGTATAATAGCGGCTTTTTGTGTAAAGTTCTTCTCCAAAAGGCAGCTCTGCAGCGTCTCTGTATGCAGAGACCTTCCAGAGACTTTTTATAACAGCAGTATGTGTTCACGGAGGTGCGCCATCAGTTTATTTTATTATTAGACGGTAATTCCGCATCGGCGAACATGCTAGCTGCGCTAGTCACTGGAGATTGACAACTCAGGCTGTAGGAATGTTCACAAGCACACACAAAGAGACAGATAGTATTCTTAAAGGACAATTCATTTTCGACTGAGCATGCGTCACGGCTGAACTGCTTGGTGGATTTCAGTTCCGAAAAACTGGGTAAAAACTGTGGTTAACAGATGTTTGAGACAAACCTAGAATGAAAGTACAGTGGACTTGAATATTAAGTTTGTGGAAAGCCAGTAACAAAAAAACGACCGCAAAAGAAACAAAGTGAACTCGATCCAGCTGTGATTGACATGGCAGACAGCAGCGGCAACTCAGATGAGCTATCTACACTAATCCGGACCATAATACGCAAAGAGATTAATGCTGCGATGGATAAAATGCAACCGCTGCTTGATGAACTTAAGTGCTGATCTGGATGTGTCATTATGCCGCGTGAACAGTCGAGTCTCAGAGCTGAAGACGGCAAATGAATGTCTCCAACAAGAAAATAAGTATCTGAGTGAGAAAACTGAGCGTTTGGAAAATCAGAGTCGGAAACACAACATCCGAATTCTTGGCCTGGTTAAAGAGGTTGAGAAGGGAAATCCGACGAGCTACGTCAAAGCTCTGTTTAACAAACTGTTCCAGGGAAAGCTGCCGCGCGAGCCCTAGGTTGAAGTTGCGCACCGCGTTGGACCTGTGAATAAATATGGTCAGCGGGCCATGATCGTCAGGATGCATCGTCTGGCTGTGAGAGAAGAGATTCTGCGCATCGCAAAAAAGGAGAAAGTTCTGGAAATACATGGGATGAAGCTGCGAATTTTCCCCGACTTCACAGCCGAGACTGCCAAGGCACGGGCCAGCTTTCGGGATGTGAGAAGCAGATTGTGGAGCGCAGGGGTGAAACACGGAATTATCCACCCTGCCACTTTGATCCTGACTTTCAGAGGAGAAACTAAGAGGTTTACCTGACTGCGGAGAACTATGTAAAAACTACGATTGAACTGGAGGAGTCTAACCAAGGATGAAGAGGAGACCATGGCTCGCGTAATGCTTTACCTTTACGCTTATACGAGGTGGCTATAGAAACTCAAAACGTGAAGACTTATTTAACGGCATTATAGCAGCCACTTTATTTTTCTCAGCCACATCTCTTTAGTTAAGCTGTGGACAAATTGTTTTCTTACCACAGAAGACTGTAGAATGTTAATATCGGGACTGACAAAACTGCCTTTTTTTCTTGTCACTATGAGAGCAAAATGGGTGTGCATGGTGTTTGTGTGTGTGAGTGATTGTTTGTCTTGTCTTTGTGTCAACATTGTTTAGTTTGCAGCTCAATTATCGTATTTTTGATGAAAAGTTTCAAAACAAATACAAATTTTTATGGTGAGGGATAACGTGTTATCAAATAAAGGTTTGAAAATTGCCCATCTGAATATCTGTAGTTTGAGAAATAAGGTTCAGGACATAAGCAGGATTTTAGAGAGTTACAATCTACATATACTAGCTTTATCTGAGACACATTTGGATGGAAACATTGATAGTTCCCTCGTTCATGTAAATGGATATAATTTCTATAGGCTTGACAGAAACATACACGGGGGCGGAGTGGGATGTTATGTGCAAGATCAAATCCCAGTGAAGATCCAATCTTATCTGGGTTGTGTTGGAGTGGAAGCACTGTGGCTGGAAGTGCAGGTCCCTCACATTAGGCCTTTTCTGATTGGCTGTTGCAATAGACCTCCAAATGCTCACATAGTTTATCTAGATCAGATCTGTTGTATGTTAGACAAAGTTTGTGACTTAAATAAGGAAATTTATTTTGAAGGAGATTTAAATATAGATTGGACTACAAAGGATTGTCCGTTGAAAAATAAATGAATGTCCATTTCAGGCACTTGTAATTTGTCACAAGTTGTGACTAAACCAACAAGAGTGGCTTATAAAACAGATGGGACAAAATCAGCCACATGTATTGATTTAATGTTTACAAATTCAGTAGAGCTATGCTCAAAAGCTATTTCAATTTGTGTTGGGTTTAGTGACCATAATTTAATTATAATAAATAGGAATACTAAAGTCCCTAACGCAGGGCAGAAAATTATAATCAAAAGGAGTTATAAAACATTCAATGAAATACATTTTAAGGAAGAAATCATGAAAGTGAACTGGTCCCAAGTTTTACTGGAGGATGATCCAAATAGAGCTTTGGAGGTTTTCACTAGTCTAATCATGCCAATCATTAATACATACGCTCCATTGAGAAAAATGACAGTTAGAAATGTAGCATCCCCCTGGGTAGATCCTGAACTTAAAGAACTTATAAAGCAAAGAGATGAACTAAAGGAAGAATCATCCACATCAGGCAGCAGCACAGTGTGGAACCAGTACAAGCAGCTGAGGAATTATGTGACCAAATTAAACAGATCCAAGAGAAAGGCTTATTATGGAAATAAGTTCAATGATGTAAAATCAGATGGCAAAAAAATATGGAATACATTAAATGAACTGATGAGAAGGAAGGTCAAGTCTGTACCAACATTTTTGGAAGTGGGTGGATCTTTTCTGACTAAGCCCATTGATATTTCAAATTATTTCAGTGAATATTTCATAAATAAAGTTACAGTTTTACATAACAACATAATTCCCAAGTCAAATTCCCATTCATCTTGTACCTCAATCAAAGATGTAATAATGGATGGTAAATTGTGTAAATTTAGGTTTGAAAAAGTGAATACAACCGTTGTTGAAAATGTTCTAAAACTCATGAAATTAAAGCCTTCGGGCATTGATGAAATTGATGTGAAGCTGCTGAAACTGGTGCATGATGTGATTGCTCTGCCTATTTGTCACATAATTAATTTGAGTTTAGAAAAGTGTATTTGTCCTAATGATTGGAAAATAGCAAAAATTGTGGCTCTACCTAAAAACAGCAAAGAGCCCTTTTCTGGAAAGAACAGTCGCCAATTAGTATTATGCCAATTATGAGCAAAATAATGGAAAAAATAGTCTATGATCAGATCAATGTATATTTTGCAGAAATGGATTAAACTCGATGTATCAGCATGCGTATAAGAAAGGGCACTCCACAACATCAGCCTTAGCTCAAATAACTGATGATTGGATGCATGAAATGGAAAAAGGAAACATTATTGGGACAGTAATAATAGATCGAAGTGCAGCGTTTGATTTACTTGATCCTGATTTATTACTGAATAAATTAACTTGCTATGGTTTTGAACATTCTGCTATCAAGTGGGTCAAAAGTTATTTAACTAACAGAGAGTTTACTGTATTATTTAACGGCAGTTATTCTGAAAAAAAGACAGAGTTGTGGAGTTCCTCAAGGTAGCTGTCTTGGGCCGCTTTTATTTTCAATCTTTACAAATGACTTGCCTTGTATTTTGAAACGTGCCACTATTGCCCTTTATGCAGACGATTCAACCATTTATCTGTATGACACTAACCTTGCTAATTTAAATGTAAAGATACAAGACGATTTGAAATCAATTGAGGATTGGATGGATGAAAATAAATTGGTTATTAATCCTGAAAAGACCAAATGCATGGTGTTAGGATCAAAGCATCACTTAAGAAATTACCCTGGTATAAATGTGACCATAGAAGGTAAATCTATAGAACAAGTCACTGAGACCAAGCTGCTGGGTGTAACAGTAGATTATATGTTGACCTGGAATAGTCATATAAAGCAAATATTAAACAAAATGGGCAGGGGTCTGGCTGCAGTGAAGCAGAGCAGAAACTGTATACCAAACCAAATATGTAAACTATTAGTTGATTCAATTGTTTTATCACATCTAGATTACTGTTCTGTAATTTGGTCAAACACAACAGAGGCAAATTTAAACAAACTTCAAA